CAATAAGCGGCTTAAAACAACACGAATTCGTTCTCTTACAGTTCTGAAGGCTGGAAGTCACAAACCAGTTTCATCGAGCTAAATCCAAGGTGTTGGTGGGGCTCATCCCCTGGAGGCTCTGGGGGGGAACCCCTCTGCTCGCCTCTTCCAGCCCCTAGAGGCACCCACATTCTTTGGCTCGTGGCACTTCCTCCATCCTCAGAGCCACTGTGTGACATCTTCCAGTCCTCCTCTCTGCTTCCGTCATCACGTCTCCGCCTCTGACTCCGACCCTCCTGCGTCCCTGTCCGGAATACCCCTGCGATTACCCCCGGCGCACCTGGAGAAAGCCAGGGAGCTTCCCATAGCTAGGTGCTTCGGACAATCACTTCCTTAAGACAGTCCTTAAGTCACACTCACAGGTTCTGGAAACTAGGGCGATGTCTTTGGGGACCACTGTTCTGCCACCACACCCAGACTGCTTCAGAGGTGCAGGCTGCTCAGGACCAGAGCAAGTTGGCACGCGTGGTGGGGACCCAAACAGCGGCCCTGACTGCAGCCAGCCACGACTCTCAGCCACCAAGTCACCCAGCCAGGAGGCTTTGGCCAACATGCCCTGGCCCTTGAGAGACCCCCGTGAGCACACGCTTCCAGTTAGACCTGGCTGGACCCCAGCCTCTGCCCTGACTCAGGCGTGAACCTGGGCAGTCCCCGCACCTCTCTCGGCCTCAGTCTGCTCATCTGCAAGATAGGGGTCTTGAGCGCGACCTTAAGGGTTGTTGTGGGGACGAAAGGAGCTCAGCAGTGTCCGGGGTTTGGACGGGGCCCAGCACAGGTAAGGTGTGGGTGTGCACACACTATCTGCGAAACGGGTGCGCAGTGCTGTCGGGAGGAGACACAGGTGCAGAGTATTCCCTGAGGGCTGGGGACAGTGGCTGGAGTGGTCATGGCCCCAGCCGGCTCCTGTCCAGGACCAGGGAGTGCAGACAGGTCCTTAGGCCCCTGCCCCTCCTGCCCCACCCCAGAGACAGCCACAAGCTATGGGACACAGCTCTTCCCACCAACACCTATCTCGCCCTGGCCCCAGCTGGGACGCGAACCCACATGCATCCCTGGGTAGTGGCCTATATCGTCAGACTCTGACATCACCAGGGGTCTTGATCAAGCTCCTCTCCTCCCGTGCCTCAGTTTCTCTGTATGTAAGCTGAAGACAGTCATCCCAGCCTTGGAGCTGGATTTGTGGGGATGAGGAGCGAAGCATCGCACGCCCTGCGCCATGCCTGGCGCCTCAAGGGCACAGGCTCTCCCACGCTCTGCCTGGGGCTGCCACTCCAAGGGGGCCTCCGGCTCTCTCAAGCCTCAGGCAGATCCAGGCCTGGTGAGGAGAAGTGGTCCATAATGGCTACCACCTGTCGGACCGGTGTTGGGAGTGGGTCTGTAGGGGTGGGGTTCGGAGAGCTCCCTCCCGCCTGCAGCTGGGGTCTCCTGCACTGGCCAGCCCTGCTGGGGATCCCCAGACAGAGCTGAGAGCAACTGGCCGGGCACTGGCACAGAGGGCTCAGACACCCCCACGTGCCCTCTTGGGCCCACTCTGGATCTCAGGCATCTTCCAGGAGTTTCCCTGCAGCCCTGGGGTGGGGGAGGAGGCAGAGGCTGGGTCGAGGCCTGGGGTGCGAACATGGAGCCCACCTGTGCGTGCCTGCAGGCCGGGGCTCAGCCAGAGGGTCGCTGGGCCCCCTAATCCCACCTCCTCCTGCACCTAGGAAGGACGTGAAAGCACAACGTGGCCCTGCAGCTTGAGTGCCACCTTCATGGAGCTGGAGGCCCCACGTGGGTGTGGAGCCCAGTCCCGGTGAGGAGTGAACTGGGGCTGACAGGGTTGGCGGGGGATGGGGTGGGCGCACAAGGACAGACAGGGACATGGGCCCTTGAGGAGGGGGGGAGGAGGGGTCCATGCCGAAACTCATGTCACCCCACCAGCCTGGGAGAGCCCTATGGGGACACATGTCCGCAGCCCCAGCACTGAGTCCCCGGCCTGGCATGGGCGGGGGCAAAACCTGCCAGATAAATGAGCAGCAGGTGCTGAAGAAGCTTCTGACAGTTCTAGTTTACGGTCGCAAGGGAGGCCCAGCTGCCTGCCAGCCTGGCACCCACCACTGACACTTCCCGAGCACCCACAGAATCAGCTCATGGAAGGAACAAGGGGACGTGGGCCACCGCAATGTGTTCCGTGCCGAGTACCACCCAGTTCATCTTCTTCCCAGCACTGAGCCGACCTGCGGTTACTCCGTCCCTTTACTCGTCTCCTTGTTTATTTCCTGAGTTCTGCCTCCACGGATTCCCAGCTCCGGGAGCACAGTCTCTGCCGAATCCATGCCCCGGTGCCAGCCCGGTGCCGGCACGGTGAACGAATGAGTGAGCGGCTGAGGGCACAGACTCAGTTCTTACGACAGAGCAAGCTCTGTACTCCTGCCCCACGTCCAGAAGAGGGAATTTAGGGGACGTGCCCGGGTCACGGTAGTGAGCTGCAGTGTCCCTGAGAAACTCATGTCCACCTGAAGCCTCAGACCTTACTGGGAAACAGGGTCTCCGCAGAGGAAGGCCACGTGAAGACGGAGGTGGAGACTGGAGTGACACCGCACAGGCCAAGGAGGGACCCTTCGCTAGGCGCTTCAGAGGGACCACAGCCCTGCTCTGATGTCCGACTTGTGGCCTCCGGAATTGAGAGAGGAAGACATTTCTCTTGTTTTAAGCTACCACGTGCGTGATCATTTGTGAGAGCAGTCCTAGGTCTCACAGATAAACAGGCGTGCATCTTGGACTCAAAATGAGGAGTCCACAGCTCAGGCTGACACAGCTGTCCCAACCCTGCACGAGGCTATTGTCCTGGGGACCCTGGCAGGCAGCACTGCAAGGAGAGGGGGCAAGCAGACAGGGACCAGAAGGCGTCCCCCAGCCCCCTACTGTTTCTGCTCAGGGACTTGGCTGAGGAAGGCACCTGGCCTGCCCTTGGCTCGGTCCCCGCACCTGGCAGGGAAGAACAGGCTCTGCCGCATATTCTGTGGGTGATGGGTGACATGGGCAGGTCTGCTAGGTGCTCTCCGTGCCCCTAGGGAGCTCTACGTGGGAGCTGCTGGTAACATCTCTACACCTCCCTCCCTGGGCTCTGACAGTGGGACAGTGAGCCAAGGGCCTGGCACACAGTAGGACTGCATGAAATGGCAGTGCCACTGCTGCCACAGCAGTGGGGGCGGAAGCAGGTCCAAGGGCTGGGCGACGTGGAGCCTTGCGGGTGCTGCAGGGAAGGGGCTGGCCTTTCTCTGTGGCCCGCCAGGCCACTGCGTGAAAGCCCGTGGAGAGACTCGGGGGGCCTCTCTCCGCAAGGCCTCCCTGAACTCTGAGGAGACACTCGGGACTCCAAGCTTGCCCATGGTCCTCTGAGCCAGCACCTCACCAGTGCCCCCACCTGTCTGGGGACCCTTCAGGACACCCCAGCTGGGGAGTGGGAGGGCGCTCACAAAGTTACTGTCAGTGAAAGCTTAGGACTGGCCGACTCCCAAGGACCTCCCGAAACCCCATCCCTCCAGGCAAACCCCAACACAACTTGCCTGCAGGAGTTGGGCTTGACTTATGCATTATGGAGCCCCTAATATGCGCTTGACACTGTGCCCAGGGCTTTATTATGCACACTTACATTTAATCTCTACAACAGCCTCTGTTATTCACCCACTTTACAGATAAGGAAATTGAGGACCAAAGAGGTTAAGTGACTTTCTCAAGACCACACAGCAGGGAAGGGGCAGAGCTGGGATTTGAGGTAAGGCTGTTTAGCTCTTTCCACTAAATCATCACAGAGAAACAAGGTGGGAGACTGGTCCTCTATCCTCAATACAGCCAGGGGAGAGGACGGCTCTTAGGCCATTGAGCAGTCTTAGGTCAAGGAGATTCCCCAGCAGGAGTCCTCCTTCCTTCACTGCTTCCAGCCCTGTAGGGAGGAATGCACATACCACTGACAAAAAGGGAAACTGAGGCAGACACATCCCAGCCCTCTAGCAGGATGCAACAGAAGGGACAGAAGATAAGCATGTGAATGACCACATCCTGCCTGGTGTGCAGAGGACCTCCCACTGTGGTCTCAGGCTGGCAGCCCTGTGCCCACCACCATGCTTACGAGGCATTCGTTGCACGGAGTAAATGTGCGTCCAAATTACAGATGGGTTCCTGGTTGGCGAGACCATAGCTGGTGGAGCATCTGGCAAGATTTCACTGCCAGGTATTGGGGGAGAGGGGCAACATCCACAGCTCCCCTGGACAGCCTGCCACACTTCTCCCCGGCCCCCATTTTCCTTTTGGTGGAAATGTCTATTTCTGAAAAGGGCTCAGAAGCAGACCCGTTGGGGAATCCCACCACAGAAGCCATCTCTTTTCCGGATCTCAGCCTTGCTCACCACACAAAGCTGGAGGGGGGTCCCCACGCCCGCGCTTGTCTGGAACGGCCCCCTGGAGGAGGAGGGTGCTCTAAGGAATGCCTCGCAGCTGCCACACCCCCTGCTGACAGCTGGGAGGACGGGGCCCGCGTAAGGGAAAACCAGAGGGGCCTTAAACAGACACAGGAAGCCGCGAAGACCCACCGCTGAGCCCAAGGCTCACTGCTCCTCTGAAAAGCGGGAAAAATACTTCTGCCGGCCTCCCAGGTGGTCGCGAGCGCGGAGGTAGGGACGTGGAAAGACCCCGGGTGGAGGCGGGCACGCGGGTGCCGCGCCCACCCCACCACCCGCCGCCGGGGCACTTCTGGACCAGCCCGGGCGCCGGCGGGGCCTCGGTCTCTCCCCCTGTCTGTAAACACGCTGCACTAAACTTCCCTCCCGGCCGCACAACTCCGGGCGCAAATTCTCCGCGAGCCGCCGAGCGCCGCGGTGCCCCAGGCGGCGCTCCTACCTCGGGCGGTCGCTCACCCGCGAACCGGCCGAGGGCGCCTCCCCGGCTCCCGGCCCCCGACGGGCGGGAGGGCGCGGCCTTACCTGTTCCAGGTGGCGTTGGCGCAGGCCCGGCGCTGCTGCGTGCCCCGCTCGTCCGCGGCGGCGGCCGGCTCTCTCTTGCCCAGGTCACTGAGGCTGGGCGAACTCATGAACTTCAACCTGCGGAGAGTCCTCATGGTGACCCGGCCGCCCGCTCCGCGCCCACGCGCGCCCGGCGCCGCGCCCTGCGCCACGCGGCTCCGCGGGCCCGGCCGGCGCTGCGCTCTCTACGCGGAAACTTGGGCCAGAGCAGGAAGCCGAGCGGCCCCGCGGGGTCCCGCCCCGGGCCCGCGCCTCCGCCCCGGGCCCCGCGCCGGCCGCCCCGCCGGGTTAATCATTGCTCGCAGCGGCTCAGCGCGGAGCGCCAGGAGCGTAGCCGGCACCCACCGGCGCGCTCGGAGGCTGGAGGCGGAGCAGGGGCGGCCGGGGGCGGGGCTGCGGGGACCGAGGCGGGGCCTTGGGCAAGAGGGCGGGCACGGAGGTGGGCGGGGCCCGGGATGGGGCGGGGCCACGAGCGGGGGCGGGGCCGCAGCTGCCACGACGCCCCTCAGTCGCCTCCGCCCCCTCCGGTCTTCTGAGGGCCACGCATGCCGGCAGGAAACCACTAAACGCAGGAGACGCCCGGCCGAACCCCAAGCGCCCGCCCCGCGCCCAGCACCGCGGTCACACCCACACGATGCCCAGCGACCCCCGTCCGCAGACGCCCCGCCAACGCCTCGTGCAAAGTCACCCCTCCTAGACATCCTCCCTGCAAACGCTGTGGCCACACAGACCCTTCACTTGGACACAGGCTCCTCCGCGGCTCTCATGAAGACTTTGGGTCGAGCCCCTCAGTCCCCTCCAGGCGCTGCTGGCGGAACCCACCCTGCCTAGGCCCTACCTGGGCCCAGCTACCCTGGAGCCCTCCCCAGGCAGGGACCTCAGCCTTGCCCGGCTGCCTGAGGATTTGCTGGATTGGGGAGGGTAAAGGAATAGAGGGTGGTCTCCCCAGGGCAGAGCCCCGATAAGCCGTTTGCTAGTCATCCCGCAGGCCCCCACCCCGTCACCTGTAGGTAAAAGCAGGTGGGGTCTCCTAAGTCCCTGTGGCTGGGGGAAGGAAGGGCACAGCCCTGGTGCTTCCTGCCTGCTTTACAGAGCACTTTAGATGCCTGATCTCACACGAAGCCCCTCTGTGAGGTAGGGATGACTGTTCTCCCCATTTCCCAGTTGAGGAAACTGAGGCTCACAGATGAAATAGCTCGCCCAACGTTGTGCAGTCAACAAACGGCAATGCTGGGCCCAATGCAGGCCCCAGGGCCCAGGGAGTGCCCACAAGGCTCACCAGTCCCCTCCTCGGACCGCGACAGCTACAGCTCCAGTAGCCGAGATAGCCCCAGGTAAAGGTAAGAGAGCCTTGCAAGGGTCACCATTCAGTTCAAATCGACCAGCGTCTCCTGGGCACCTACTATGCACCAGACTATGCCTCCTCCTAGGGAGGCACAGCCATAAACAGACAAACCCTCTGTCCCCAAGAATCTCCCACAGAGCCTGTCACCCTTGGGCTGAGACCCACGTGACCCACTATGAGCTGACAGGACAGGAAAGGCCGGGGTCCCCCCTTCCTCCCAGACATCTATGGCCCTGGGCTGTCCAGGGGTCCCCAGAAGACCAGGTAGAGCCAGGACTGGGGGGAACAGAAGACGCACCGCAGCCTCACGGCCAGAGGGGTTGGGAGTGGCCTCATGGGCTTCCTGAGCAGGTGACAACAAATCCTGGTGTGGAAGGATGGGGAGTTCCCTGGGTGGGACCCCGGGGAGGGCCTCATGTCCTCATCAGTGAAGTGAGAAGAAAGGGCTCACCCCGCAGGGGCTTGGGAAGCCACGGGCAGCAACAGGTGTGAAGCGCTTTATGAACTGTCACGTGCTGGGCACAGCCTGTCAGGGACCCCTGCTCAAGGGACCTGGAGGAGCCTCCTTGGGCACTTCGCAGTCACACTCTCACATTTACAGGACACTGTATTTCTTACATCCCATCCAGATTTCACAGTTGGAAAAGGATTTCCCACCTTACTGCTGTAAAAAAAAAAAAAATAAAAGTACTGAAGCAATCACTGAATTATCTTTGAAAGGAATATGACAGAATTTAGAGTCGCCTGAGGACACAGCAGCCCACGCTGGTGTGGGGTGTCTGTCAGCACGGCATGGGGGCCTCACAGAGGGCAGCAGCTCTCCCTGGGTCCCAAACAGGGCCACGTCCCATGGTGCTGGCCTTAGGTGACTAGGCCAGTCCTTCCTCAGCCACTTGACCGCAGCGTGGTCTTGGGCAAGTCTTGCCCTCAAGCCTCGGCTTCCTCGTGGAGAGTGGGGGCCACACCTGGGCTGGCCCACCCTCGCTGGCCCCCAGTCAGCCCCGGGCGTCCTCTCCCGTCTTCGGAAATCCTCTGGACCATGTCCGCTCCCTCCTCCTCCCCCTGCCCAGCTGCCGGCATCTCACTGTACCTCCTGACGGCTCCCAGGCCAGGAAGGTCACCTCGCAAGCCCCACCCCTGCGCGGTGGCTGGAGCTGCCCGTGGTGTGCCCGTGAGCTCCGCTTCCCAGGAGAAGGCTCCCATGAGTCCCACCGCCTCGAGGACCTGCCTGCTCTCCAGCGCCATGCACCCCCTGCACCCCGTGTCTCAGTGAAGGTCATCTCCCCTTCTCTGACTGCCTTCACCCTCAGTCAGGCTCGGGGGCACCCTCTTGTCACTCGATGGCTTTTTTCCATCCCATGCCGTAAGCCAGGAGAGCAAGAACCATAACAGCTTGTTCACTGCTGCATCCCCTGCACCTGGCACACAGCAGGCACTCAATAAATGTTTGGTCTAATGCATGGATAAACATTATCTTGGAGTAAAGGGATGAAATTGGACCATATTGGTGAAAACGCCTTATAAAAGTACCACGCTGCACACATGTGAGGAAGAACCTCTGTCCCTGCCGCTGGTGTAAGTGCACCGAGCAGAATCGTGGGGCCGGGGCCGGGATGGGGAACGTCCCACGCTGTGTGCACCGGCCGCAGGCAGGGCCTGGCTGGCAGGAGGGGCCGGCTCCAGAGGGGAGGGAGGCTGGGCTGTGAGGCCGGGATAAGAAACCAGGGGGAAGGCAGCCGAGGTGGGAGGCAGGAGGGGGAAGAAGAGGATGGGCTGTCGTTGGTCTCAGTGGCAGCAGGGGCTGGGGACGCTGCAGGCCTCTGGGAGAAGTGGCCAGCAAGAAATTCTGGAGGTGGGAAGGGCTGAAGGATTTCAAAGGTATTTGACAAAGAGGCATCTCCAGTCCGTGTTGAGGAATTAGCTGTAACCCCCTCCTGGCCCCAGCCACAGATCTGTAAACTCTGTCTACACCCAAGAGCCCAGTGCCAGAAGTGCAGGGGAGGCTCAGGCCACGGTGCCGTCGCCCTGTGTTTGGGTTGGCGACAGGCAGAGAGGGCACAGCCGCGGGGGCTGCCCGGTCCAGGGGAGCTGCCTGCGCCTAGGGGCTGGAAATCCCAGGCAGAGTCCGGGAGGAGGCGAGGCTGTTACAAACCCCCAGAGCAGGGGGCAACTGGGGGGGCAGAAGGCCGAGTCCAGCCCCTAAATGTGTTACGTGTGGCAGTGTTGGAGAAAGACCAACCCCAACTGCGTGTAGCCAGCATTTTACAACAGAGACTGACACGCAGAGCCTGATCCTGGCTGCCCTGGACGCATCAGACGACGGGACCCCCAGCCCGAGCCCCTGCGATGCCTCTGGCTGGAGCTGCTGTCCCTGCGGGCAGGCACAGGGCTCCAGGAGCCCAGTGGGCCCTCCTCTCACTTACAGGGCCTTCCGGGCCTGAGGTAGGGGTCGGGGAACCGAGGGATGGCCCTGGGCAGGGCCCATCTCAGCCTGAGACTCGGGGAGGGAAATGCCCCTCTGTTCAGGAAACGGGAGATGAGGGACTCGTCGTACACCCCGAAAGCCACCAGAGAGACCCCGCTCCAGAACGGTGCCAGGCCCGATGGCATCAACCACGTCCTCTCCTCCCCCCCGGGATCCAAACTTCATCCTAAACTTCCCTTGCCCAGCAGGGTGTAGGGAGCTAGTACAGGACCCTGGGCACCAAGGGGACCCTGGTATCTCGGCTGAGTGGTCAGAACTGGGGTCCACCTGGCCTCGTCACCAAGTCAGGTGACCTCTAGGGCCTCAGTTTGCCTGTCTGTAAGACGGATGGGGTTGAGGGTTGAGGGTTGGGGCCCCTCCCCGCAAAGCTGCCCCGGGTGAATTTGAGGGGCAGGAGAGTTAAACCCTATAAAGGCCACATGCTTCTTACAGACAGGAGACGGCGGCTCCTGTGCCTTTGACCCCTGTGGTATGACCGTGCTAAGGGGCTGGCTCAGACTTTTCATCTTTAGCGGCCGGTGCTGGGATGGCATTGAACTTCAGCATGGAGCCGGCACCTGTAGACAGACTCACAGCACCAGGGCTTTGCATCAAAAGCCCGTAGGGCTGTTCAAAATTCCCCTTTCCAGCCCCTGCCGGAACCTCCGGAATCAGAACGTGTAGGGGCGTGCCGGGGCATTGCTAACAATCGCTAACGGGCATCTCGGAGGGGCTCCGATGATATCCCGGGATCTGCAACCGCTAAGCCTGGCTCAGCCCTTCCCTTTACAGACAGACGGCCTGACACCCAGGCACAGAAGGGACCTGTAAATCAGTGGCAGATCTTGAACCTAGAACTATGGACTCTAGTCCCCCAGCACAAGTTCACCATCTCTGTGACACCAGCCCTGTTCCACACGCCAACCAAGGGGAGGAGACCACTTGGGGCCTAGGGAGGGCACGAGAGGCAGGGCAGAGGGACGCCACTTAAACGTAGTGCCTCAGCTAGTCCTCACGAGGCTGCAGCAGGGGATGCGGCCCCACTTTACAGACAAAGAAACTGAGGCTCAGGGAGGTGGAGGCATATGCTCCAAGTCAGAGTCCGCAAGTGGCGGAGGTGAGGCTGGAGCTCGGCCAGCTGAACAGGAGGGAGACAGCCCCCAGCTCCGTCACTGTCCCCGGGTGCTGACCTCTGCTGCCCGTGTCCTGCCCACCTCCTGGGCACTGCCCACTCTGGAGGGGCACTTCTGCCCCCTGGTGGCAAAGCTTGGTGCTTCCCCCAAAGCTGACTCCGAAAGTGCCTGGGTCCCGGACACCC